TTTACACACACTTCAAGAAGGCGACGAAGCAAGACGCCTGGAATATTGTTTATGGGCCCAAAGGGAATATTCAAACAATATAAATTTCCTAAAAAATATTTTATATACCACGAATAATTCCTATAATTCAACAAAACATCTTATACGGAAATTGTCATACATAATCCCTGTAAGCATAAAGTAGCAGCAGCAGCAACTCAAAAAATTGAGTTTTGGGATAATGAAATCAATGCATAAATACTTTATCTTGAAGTGAAATCCCAAATTATCCTAAATTTCAATTTCTTGAGTTGATCCGTTCAAAAAATAAAAGGGGGGGCATTAAAGAAATGCACAATGCAGCGCTGTCTCTCATTCAAGACTACTTAACACGTAGGACGCAAAAAGTCAAACTAGATCATGACACCAGCAGTACCAGAGAAGTGAAAATTAGGATTCCTCAAGGAACGGTACTTGGTCCAGTTCTGTTACTAGTCTACATAATACCAGTAGTTTCATTCTCAATTTCAAAGGAGACATGATTTTCCGTGCCGATGACACAGCTACAGTAAGTACACAGATTCTGAAGAAATACTGCAGAATATCCAAGTATGGTTGAACTACAACTTGTTGGGTCTGAACATCTATAAAACTAAATTTATAACATTTTCATTACTCCAAAGCGACCGGCCTAATGAAGATGCACTCTGTATACAGAAATATGCTGTGAAACAAAAATATGCTCTTGTCCTTTAATAGAACGAACACAAGAAATAAAACAATTAGGGGTCATGGAAGATAAACATCTAAAGTAGGATGACCATGTTAATTATGTAACAAAACGTCTGAGAATGTTGTTCAGGCAGTTTTATGCTTTGTGGGACATTTTAGATAACAAAAATCGCATGATCTATCACTCTCTAGTTAAATGAATAATGACTTATCGTATTAAAGTATGGGGCACGTTCAATGATTCCCCAAATCGACTACAGACAACATTAATTACATGTTCAAACATTTTATTTGAAAGAAATACTTTATTCTGATAAACTTCATGAAGATTTGAAGCCTATCCTGGTTTTTCATAATAAACATAATTATGCGGAATCTTCCATTTAAGCTGCCTCTCTTCAAAAAACTCACACTCAAAGGCTTCTGTTTTATTATTGTCCGAAGTTTCGGATATGTTGACGACAGAGAATAAATTCAGTATTCGTTTTCTCAGCATTTCTATTCATTTATTCCATATGAAGTTTTCATCTACATATAAAGCCACAAATTCAATGCTGAATGTTTCAGTGTTTTCATTTACTAATTTTATGGATTCTGCTGAGGAAAAATTTGATTTCTTGAAAATGGTGAAAATTCAAGCGTAAATTCAAATTATTATTCACAAAGAAATATTATTTTCATTTTGTCTGTAATAATTTTGCCGATCATACGAAAGCTAAGAAATTATACAATACCTATCTTAACGTTTCGTATGTTAAAATCTGCCTCCTCCTTCAGAAATTAACAAAATTTAAGTTTTTACAAGTTAGGTATCGAATATTTTGTACGATATGAGTGTTGCTTTTCGAAATTGTTTGAAAAAATCGTATTGATATGTTATCGCAACATTTAGACACACCCTGTTGGTTAGGGCAATTTATGCTTGTTGTGCGCAACAGAATATTAGCTATTTTTTTTTTCACACAGTACCTACTCCTACAATCATAAGAAATATTCAAAAAATTTCTCGACGACTATCAAAGACGCAAATGGCAACAGCAGCGAATAATTCATTTAAAAATAAAGACGCCACAAGTAACGGCACCCAATAAAAAATAAACAACGAAGTGCTGATTTCATTCATGAAAATAGAAAGGTATTTGCCGCCGCATGATATCATCAAAACATTAACGAAATGAGTTGGTTCTAAATTTAATTTGCATAACAAAGCGTTATTAAAACAATATTTATTTAATGTTCGAACGCATTGTTTCGTCGATAAGTTTTCGATTGATGAATGGTGTTCCGGTGAAAAAAATTGCGTTTTATGTCCAGCTCATCATGACCATCAGGCGCTCCACGATCGGTTGGAAGCCACAAGAAGAGAACTCGAAGAGGAGAGAGACACTTTAGAGCGGCTCAAACGGGAAGCCAACAGCCGTTTCGATCAGGATAGAGTCAACATCAGCCAGCTGAAGGAAGAATTGTCCAAATTCAAGAGCAAACTAGAAGAAGCCAGGACTCGAAACGAAGAGGACGTCAATAAATTGGAGCAGAAGATTGAGGAAATCAGAACTGAAAGGGACAATTGTCAGAGCGAAGTGGAAAATTTGAAGATCCAGCTCCATCTGTGCGAAAATAAAGGAGAAAGTGTCAGTAATCAATTGCACGAGACAATTAGGAAATTGAAAGAAGGTAAGGTTTTATTTTATTCATATATATCTATGTTTGTACNTAAGAAAAACCTCATTCAAATTATCAGATGAAAATTAAATAAGGAATTTTATTACATTATTATAACTTCATTATTCCAATTACAAAATTACATTAAAGTGGATGAAGGTGAAAAAAAATAATTGCTTATTACAGAAGAGTACATGGTAAGCATGATTTTATTTAAAGAATTTTTGAATTTATACAAAGTTTTGAAAGATCTCTCATTTTCATTATGTATATATTTCAATTGTATACATTTCTTCTTCTTTTATTTCATCTTCTTCTTTTATTCCAACATCTCTCAACTTCAGTTCAGAAATTGGAAGATAGTTATAATAATGTCTCTGTAATTTCAGAATAACCTGTACTTATACAAATATTATCTGCAAGGTAGCATTCAGTATGGATGCTCTACCCCATATTATCCGAGTTTGATACCCATATTTTATCATTTCATTATAATAACGCCTCTTTTACCAGACTATTTTGCACTAGGTTGTTCATCGTCATCAACCAAGGTTTCCATTAATATTGTAAAAATATATTATGCTCCACAATATACCAGCAGTTGTTTTCAGCTTTCATAAATTCCATGGGTTTGGATTTATTTATATTTCTCTTGGAAGAATATATAGAATAAGCGCGGCAATGTTCGTCACTACTGACGTTTTGTTTTTCCAGCTGAAAACAACTCGGAGTCTTTAAGGAAAGAATTGACAGATGTGCGAAGGCTTCTAGCAGATGGTAATTTCGAGAAGGAGAAGTATCATAATACCAATAAAGAACTCAGGGACCACATTAAGAGAACAGAGAGCGAGAAAAGGGAACAAGCTAGACAACTGGAAGAAGCCTACAAAACAATTTCAAGTGAGTACTAAATTTTCATGAGCTAATATAATGGTGGCGTTATTTGTTAAAATAACGGAATCACATTCACACAATTCAACTAACAATGAAGCAAAAAATTTTAATAAACGTAACTAATAACTAATTATTGAAATGTTTCGATTCAGTGCAACAATTAATTCTAACTCATATTCTAGTAGCCTCTACTAATCCACCACGTATTTCGATACATGTGTCGTAGCGCTTACGAATGTTTCTGATTACGTTCCTTAGTTCTTGAGGGCTAATATCTGCAC